CTCTACTGTACAGGCAAGGTGAAGTAGCCTGATCATCAAATGTGATTTTACTTGATGGGAATAAACTGTCTTGAGGCTTACACAGGTTTATAGTCATATTCCAGGGGTAGTCAACATAGTGCCGTTCAGAAATGGTTGGACTGCAACTCCTATCAGCTGCCAGCAGCATGGCCAATGGTCGGAGATGGTGGAAAACATAGTACAACATCCAGAGAACATTCTTGTCATAATATTTATTTATACCCTGCCTTTCCCCCCAATGGGACTCAAGGCAGCTTATGGCTAAAAACAAGAATCACTAAAAATATTGGGGGGGGGGGACAGCCATTAGAAAACCATTAAACATTAACAGAAATAAAACTATATATGTGTGTATAAAACCTATTTCATTAAAAGCACTCCATTCCCAAAAGCCTGTTGGAACAAGAAAGTCTTCAGCTGCCGGTGGAAGGACAAACATGGAGGGAGACAGTCTAGCTTCTCCTGTGAAGGAGTTTCAGGGTTTGGGAGCAGCCACCAAAAAGGCCTTACTCAATTTTGGGAGAGGACACACATTAATTTCAATGAAACGTGTTTCACAGAAGCCTTCTTAGGATCACCATTTCAGTGAAGTAAAGTGAAAACGAAACAACAGACAAAATTGTTTTGGATTGGTACATGAATCTGAGGCAAAACTTCCATCTTCTATGGGATTCATAGTTGAAGACAAATGGGTAGAAATACTTGTGACAGAAGACATACCCCAAAGAGTTATCCAACTGCATTTATTCCTCCTTTGTCCAAAGAGTGATGTGTAGCCAAAGAGAAGGCATGATGGGATATCGTTGTGCCCCAGATTTCTCTGCCCTGTCCCACTTCTTTATCCCTGTCAACGTTCAAAATGAAAACACACCTTTGCCGTCTTGTCATTTGCCTTAATGTCATTTTAGCTTGAATCATTTGGCTTTAAAAGACAGATGAAGAAACATTTCTGGAAATCAATTATACAGCGGAATAATACCAGTTTTGCAATATTAATAAAGGTCTTTGGAGACTGCTCAGTTATTTTCGCTTCAAATCTAGTAAATTTATCCTCATGTATTATACATTGTTTAAACTTGTGTAACATAAATAATACATGGCCACTTGTAACTTATTTATGAGAAATAAACATAATTTCTTTGCTTTTTTGTAGTTCTAAGTCATGCTGTTGTTCGTGTATTTCAGCTGCACCAATTAACGACTCATGCTAAGTGCATTGAGTAATTTACCTGAAGTAAGGAATTGTAACTTCAGACATCTAACACACAAACAAAATTCATGATTAATTGAACAGCAAAGATACTGGAACCCAAAGAGGTACTTCAGGCATGTCCAATGGAAGCCTTGTAGGGATGATTGGGGAACTAAATCTTTGCAAACTTCAATAGAAGCAAACTTATTATTTAGCTCCTAGACTAATCTAGACACAGCTATCATTAGGAGTTGGCACCTTTTGAATATTATGATACAGCTCAAAGAAAGCATAACATTGTACTATCTCAGTGCAGTGTGGGTCCTGGGTTTCTTGGGTACAGAATGGATCCAGTGATGGTATGGATTCAGGTTACCCCCTTGGTATGTTAGATGACTCCCTGGTGGGGTTTGGATTGAGGGCAGCAGTACCCCACCTGCAAAGGTGGGGGATCAAATAAGACGATCTTTCTCAACAGATCTGTGGAATCCAAGAGATTTCTGACAGCTCTGGGGGATTTTCTAGTTGGGATTGTTGGCATGCCTGCCAAAGCCCTAGTCTCATTTTGAAAGGATGGATAATTTTGTTAGTTTCTGTTTGCCACTGTGCTTTGAGTCACAAAACTCTGTTTACATTCCAGAGACATTCCAAGCTGTTGGAAGTCTCACGGGAGACGGATGTGACATTACTGGTTTCCTGTTCCTTTGCTTTTTTCGGTTGTTTTCTGCCTTTCACAGAGAGAGGATGATTTCTTTTCTGTCTGCGTAGCTAGAAAATAGAGCATAGCGATGTAGCCATAAATCTCATCACTTCCACGTGCTGCTTTGATTCTTTGCTGAATGGGGGATGTGCCTGGAGCCTCATCAAAGGCTCAGGTCATTAATCATGTCGGAGGGCAATTCTGGAAGATGAGCTTTATCAGCTCGGTCGAACGGAGATTCCGACATTTTTACCCTCACCCCACTGTATTCATGTCCCCCCCCCCATTCCTTTCCATTGGATGGGAGTATCTGAGAAGGCTTGCAACATAAATTAATAAGAGAGCCAGGTCTAGCAAACAACATCTGCTGTGGCTATAGTTTTTCATAGTTGTATATATGTAGGCCACCATTTGGGTCAAAGGGGAACAGCTGGTTTTCAATTCCAGAGGTAGATAATAGTACATACACCACCCAAATGGAAAGCATAGACTTATTTCCACTTACTTTCTGAGAGTAAGTGGGTGACAGAAAGAGAAAAGGATGTCCCTACCAACTTTTGGCTCTGTTCTGTATTCTACTCACTTTGACCCTTCCTGCCTTGCTCTAAAGTAAACTCAGTTCACATCCTTAATCTGATTCTCAGTAAACTTAATTTCCATTGTATGGTTCTGCATAAAGCCCCATCATATTACCCCTGAGGGACTCTGGTCCTCAACAGAAAAATAGTCCTGAGTCGTTCAGTCCAAAGGTAACTCTGGCCCCAACTCCATATTATGTATGCTATTCAAGCATGCACACTCAACTAGTCTGCTTTTATTCTGAAGAAAAAGCAGCTGTGAAGCTTTGATCAATCTTCTTCTTCTTCTTCTTCTTCTTCTTCTTCTTCTTCTTCTTCTATCACTTGTAGCTGAGTAAGATTGTCTTCCATAAACACAGTTTTAAAAGTGAGTCCGTAAGTGACTGTGGAGGCCAATTCTGGATCCACATGTCCTTCCACAGTGGGGACATAGATTTCCGGGCGGGAGTTGATCATGGTGAGTGTTTGCCAAGCGTGCCTTCCTCTTAGCGTGTTAATATTCTCCTGACCTAGACTACAGCTTCCCACAACTTTTTTTTCTCCTCATAGTTGCTATATCCTGGCTGCTTTTTTGACCTCAAAAGTACTGTTTACTGAAAGCAATAACTCTGGGAGCAAATAGCAACAAGCTAGGGAAAATACAGGGACACGGGTGGTGCTGTGAGTTAAACCACAGAGCCTAGGACTTGCCTATCAGAAGGTTGGTGGTTCAAATCCCCGCAACGGGGTGAGCTCCCATTGCTCGGTCCCTGCTCCTGCCAACCTAGCAGTTCAAAAGCACATCAAAGTGCAAGTAGATAAATAGGTACCACTCCAGCGGGAATGTAAACAGTGTTTCCGTGTTCTGCTCTGGTTCGCCACATGCTGGTTCACCACGTGCTGGCCACATGACCTGGAAGCTGTACACCAGCTCCGTTGGCCATTAAAGCAAGATGAGCACCCCAACCCCAGAGTCTGTCACGACTGGACCTAATGGTCAGGGGTCCCTTTACCTTTCCCTTTAGGGAAAATATCCTGCAGTTCCCAATCTGGATTGGATACAGGTTTGAAACTTATTTTGGGCCAATGATAGTTAGCATTCATATCAATGCACAAGTAACAAGAGTCACGGCTAACCCAGCAGTGTAGCTAGCCACTCGGGTGCCTGGTGCAGGGGGCGTGTCTGGCAGCTGGGGGCGGGGCAATCTGCCCATGGGGGCGGGGTGATTTTCTCTGACACTTGGAGCCTCTCTGCCACTCCCCCTCAGCTGTAGGGCGGCTGAGGGAGTGGCAGTAGGCAGACCCAAGTCCCACGCTGCCTTTTCAGGCAGCAGGGAACCTGCAGGCACCTAAGCCACCACGTCACTCCTAAAAAGTTTTGTGAGCCCAATTTTATGTTTATTCTTTAAGCTCATTTTGTCACCTCCCCATTGATGACACCCGGGGCAGACTGCACCCCCCCACCCCCTTCCTCCACCACTGGGCTAACCTGGGGAAGAGGTAGAGGAAGATACACTTTGTTCTGATGTCTGCCTTGAACTTACTGTACTCTTCCAGTCAATAATAATAATAATTATTATTATTATTATTATTATTATTATTATTATTATTATTTATACCCTGCCCATCTGGCTGGGTTTCCCCAGCCACTCTGGGTGGCTTCCAACAGAACACTAAAACACAATAACCTATTAAACATTAAAAGCTTCCCTAAACAGGGCTGCCTTCAGATGTCTTCTAAAGGTTTGGTAGTTGTTTTTCTCTTTTCAAGTACTAAAGCAGGCTTCCTCAGCCTCGGCACTCCATATGTTTTAAGACTACAATTCCCATCATCCCTGGTACCACTGGTCCTGCTAGCTAGGGATCATGGGAGTTGTAGACCAAAAACATCTGGAGGGCCGAGGTTGAAGAAGCCTGTACTAAAGTCTGCTTTTCTTTCAGAACCCTTAAGAGAAAGCTTTTAACTGTAGGTGCTGTGAATGAGAGGAGGGCAGGCAAATGTAGGTTCATTCAATGGAGGAGTCTGAGGAAGTACCATGTGGCTTGGGCCTGCCCTGCCATGGGACAGTGAAGTATCTGGAGAAGGAGGAGGGGACAGAGGGTGAAGAAAAGATGCCCTAGGAAGCTCAACAAACCTACTGCACCTGGAACTGGCTGTAGAGATTGCAGCTGAATGGGACACAGCTGTGGGCATCCTAAGGAAGTATCATCCACCTTGGGCCTGCCCATTAAGAGCAAGTCTAGAGTGAAAAACACAGGTCTTTTCTGCTGTTTCCAGGATCTCTTCTCATTGTGTGACTTTTGCAGGTGAGCTGAAAGTTTCTGTGAACCCTGAGTGAGAACCCGGAAGCTGAGAGCAAGGTAGTGTCAGAAAGAGGTGAGTGGGGCTGAGAGACTTCAAAGAAGTGTGACTGGCCCAAGGTCACCCAGCAGCTGCATGTGGAGCAGCGGGGAATCAAACCTGGTTCACCAGATTATGAGTCCACCACTCTTAACCACTACACCACAATTGATAGATAGATGATAGATTGATAGATGGATAGATAGATGATAGATAGATAGATAGATATAAACAATATCTATCTATCTATCATCTATCTATCTATCTATCTATCTATCCATCCATCTATCATCTATCTATCTTTGTACTAATGTATCATTTTTATAGGTAACTGTCTTTTTGCAATATTTTGTTTAAGTTGTCTGCTTTAGCTTCAGGTTGTTTTTTTTACACCACTTGGAGATACTTTTAATATATTGAGCGGTATTGAAATTAAATAACCGATCAGTCAATCAAATGAAAGCAAGGCAAGTGGCAATGGACAAGCTATGTTAAGAAAGTGTTGCAAAGAATAATGAATCTAATAGTTTGTCTGGATTAAGTTGCAGAGTGAAGGATGCAAAAAGTTATGTCCATTGTGTCAAGTGGCTTTGGAAGTTTTGTAGACTTAAATGGTGTTTTATCACCTCTGCTTGGATTTGGCCTCATTTGCTTTTCGGAACAAGTCTATTGCATGCTTTTGGTCTTATTTCTTCCCACATGAGTCCTCAGTTGCCACAATATCTGTGCCTCCACATCCAAAGTACATTTCTTCTTTTCTTTTTCCAAAGCAGTAATAATTGCATCCTTCGAGATAGTAATTAAAAATACTAAACAGTGAATTGAAAAGTAACATAGAACAACATTTTTGCGCAACTTGTGGATGAACATATTGGATACCATATGTGTAAATGCACTTGTAAATTGTTCATTTTCTAGGTGGATTTCTGCCCCCCCAAAAAGCATTCTTAAAATGTATAACAAGAAATTGAAATTGTTCCAAATGGAAGTAAGGTCTGTTGTAAATTGGTGAGAAAGGGCAGAAAGTCAAATAAGTAGATTGTTATGTTCTGTCATTTGATTTATAAAATAATTTAAATAAAATAAGATTACAATCAGTGGCCTAGGTACTTGTCAATCACTCCAGTACTTTTCTTTTCAGTGGCTGGAATACAGAAAGGTAAAACAAATTTACTTTTTACTTGACAATTGGGTAGAATGTTTCCTCACTGAAAAGAGATATATTTTAAAGAAAGTTAAAAATTCATTGAAATACCTTGAAATACATTATGCCCCCAAACCATAGTCCTGGCTTGTTGGCCCCAATCAAGTGTACCTGCAAAATTATATAAAGACAGCTGTGGAGCTTTATGGCATGCTAATCTTTAGTATATACTTACTCATACCAGGAGTGTTGTGGGTTTAGACATGTAGAAAACCAATCTTGAGCCTTCCTTAGCAACAGAAAATACACCTTCCAACCCCATCTTTCAAATTTCGAATTGCTCCATTTGTGCCTCCATTATTTCAATATTGTGAATTGCTGGTTTCAACATAAAGCCTTGGATGCCTTTGTGCTTGCGTGTTGTGCTCATTTATATTTCATTTGTAGTCGCACTGAATTGTGAGTTTTGAAGGTTAAAGAACGTAGATAGCAGTATAGCCACACTGTTCATACTAGTGTAACTCATAAGAGATAGCAGCTTTGCTGCTAGGTTTTATAATAGCTGCAGAAATTGTGGACTTGGAAGTGACAGTATTTCTATATTTGAGCTGAATGCCACATGTACTCCAATTTCCTGCAGTATTCTTTGTGAAATCGAACAAACAGCATCCTTGGGCTGTCTGCTTGGAAGGCTTAAAATATATCTGTATCCATTGTATATATGGCTTGTTATGTGGTTAGCTAATCACTAATTGGGGAACAAAACATAATTACCTTTCAAATGGAACAAGTCACAGTTGTTGAAAGTTCTATGCTACACTTGTCACACCTTAAAATGTTGCCTTTCAGTCTATATATACCACAGCCCTTGTCTAATTCCAATACCCCATGCTATGCATTTGATGCGCTTCAGAATTTTTTCTTTGCACCCTCATTTTAAAGGCATAGATGTTTCACAGCCATTAAACTCTCTTCTGATTTTTCTTCATGTGCTCCCCCACTGTGCCACAGCATCATCACTCATGCAGAAGCTGTCATAAATTTTATTTTATATTTAATTCTCAGTTACTGGGGTGGAGTTTTGGAACCCATGCACAACTGCTCGGGCAATTAGGATGGACAAGGAGAGTCACAGCTGTAAAAGCTAACAAATTGTTATGTATGAAAGATTCAAAGAACCAATGATCCTTGTGCCTTGCCTGATTATGTGCAGCAAAGTGCACTTTTTGATAGTGGAAGATGGGGGTGGGTGGGTGCATTCAAGAAATCTTTTGTTATCTTGAATGAAACTCCTCAGAGAGAATTGTTCGATCAAGGGGACATTTCTCATACCCAGATCTTATGCACAATAGAGGTCTATTTTGGTCTGCCAGCTAAATATTTCTGTCTTGTATGCAGTATAGACATAGAAGCTCATGTGTCATTCTTTTCTGGTGCTTTCATAAAGCAGAATAGCAACAAGCATGAAATGCGACTGCATATTCCATAGTAAAAAATAAATTAAAAATCTTTCAATTTAAGAGAGTTCAGGTGCGTCTGATTGTCACTCATGCTCCAAAAAGAAGGTAATTGTGAGTTCGAACAAACACTTAAACATCCTTGAATATTTTGTGCAAACTTGCACATTATTCTTGCTTCTAAATTAGGCCCCATGTACCCACACTATGCCTTGGACTTTCAGCTCAACATTAGGCTGAGCAGCTTCCTCAGTAACTTGCTTTCATACAGACACAATGAATTTCTGCCTGAAGTCTCCGTACAAAGTACACCAGTTCCTTCACAACAGCAGCAAACCGTAGCAAATGTCCGGGCAGATAATCTACAAGTGCCTAGTCACTGTAAAAAACCAAGTTGGACATTTGATAAATTTCTGGTCAGGGAAGTCTTAATTCGGGCATATGTAAATCCCCAGCCCTTTGCTTTGTTAATCTAATGGAATCGAACAAAGTTTTTTAGACCTTTTGTCTTGGTTCCAAAAAGGTAAAAGATAAAGGGACCCCTGATCATTAGGTCCAGTAGTGGCCGACTATGGGGTTGAGACGCTCATCTCGCTTTATTGGCTGAAGAAGCTGGCATGTGGCCAGCATGACTAAACCGCTTCTGGCAAACCAGAGCAGCGCCTGGAAACGCCATTTACCTTCCCGCCTAGCTTTCGAACTGCTAGGTTGGCAGGAGTAGGGACCGAGCAACGGGAGCTCACCCTGCCTCGGGGACTTGAACCACGACCTTCTGATCGGCAAGTCCTAGGCTCTGTGGTTTAACCCACAGCGCCACCCGCGTCCTGTTTCCATAACCACCTCCAATTTTACTTTAGGACTCAGGCATGTCCAGAGTCTATTTTGGGGGCCTAATTTGGCCCGCCAGTTGATTTAATCTGGCCCGCCAGTTGATTTTAACCCCTGTGGCAGTATATGTCCTGGGGGGAAATCCTTTAAAAAAAGCTCAGCAACTTCAATCCTGAGAAAAGTTCAACAACTTTGGGGTTAAATCCTAAAAAAAGGTCAACAACTTTGGTCGGCCCTCACGCATGTTCACTTCATCAAATCTTCCCCTCTTTGAAAAAGGTTTGGGCATCCCTACTTTAGGCAGAATTCAGTGGCAGAGCTCTTGCATTTTCTGCCACAAGTCCTGAGCAGGACTCCATTCCTCTCCAGCGTAGGACACCCTGTCTTTTTGCCCGAGATCTCAGTGGCCATTTGGGGTGCCACGCTCTTGCATGTTCTTGAGCTGCACTCCCCCCACAAAAAACAGTGCTTTGGGGGTGAGTCATGTGACTCAACTAGGAGTGTGTTTCAGAGCAGGCACATCCCAGTTTGGGGCTTGAAAAAGTTGGATGGTATGGGACTCTTCATAATTGCTACAGATACCATGGGACAACACTCATCTCACTGGATCACCATGGCGCTTTGATGACATTTGGTACCCTTTGGTTCCTTTGAACGCTTTTTGGGAGCACTTCTTAACTTCTCCTTTCCCCTGACCCCATTTCCTCACACGGCTTCGTTAGATTGTTTTGCTTATGTATCATCACATCAGATGCAGATGCGCTGATATTAGGATTAAATGGCAGTGTGCAACTAAGAATGGGCTGAGAGGACAAAGGAAAGAAAAATGGGATTTTTAAAAAATATGCTTTTCAGGTTTATACAGTTCACTAATTTCAGGTTTATACATTTCACTAATTTTACAATCATTTTACCATTTTGAAGCTTGACTTCCTTCCCTCTCTTTATTTTTAATATCTCCTGCATATCCAAATTAACTGAATTTGATCATTTATTCATCTACTTTAAATATATACTCTTATAAAACTGCAGGTTATTACAATAATCCTGCCAATGTTCTTATCTCTTTACAATTTATCTGTAAAAATTCAACAAACCATTTCCATTCTTTTATAAAAAGCTTGTTATCTTGATTTCTTATTCTTCCGGTAAGTTTCGCCATTTCTGCATATTCCATAAGTTTTTGTATCCATTTTTTCTTTGCTGGGACTTCTGGTTCTTTCCATTTGGGGGCAAGTAACATTCTTGCCGCTGTAGTATCATACATTAAATAAATTTCTATACAGTTTAGGTAGTTCTGTCCCTATAATTCCCAAAGGAAAAGCTTCTGTGGTTTTTTTTTTACAAACATTATTTTAAACATCCTTTTCAATTCATTATATATCATTTCCCAGTAAGCTTTAACCTTACTACAAGACCACCACATATGATAAAAAGAATCATCTTTCTCTTTACATTTCCAACACTTATTTGATTTAGATTTATAAATTTTTGCCAACTTACTCAGCATTAGATACCATTGATATATCATTTTCATATAATTTTCTCTTAGACCAGGCATCCCCAACCTGCAGCCCTCCAGATGTTTTGGCCTACAACTCCCATGATCCCTAGCTAACAGGACCAGTGTTCAGGGATGATGGGAATTGTAGTCCAAAACATCTGGAGGGCTGAAGGTTGGGGATGCCTGTCTTAGATCATAACATGTTGTAGATTTTATATCCATATCCCACGATTGTTCCCATGCTTCCATGTTTATATTATGACCAATATCTATTCTCCAATGTATCATTGAGGATTTTACTTGCTCATCCTTTGTCTCCTATTCCAATAATATTTTATACATTTTAGACAGCAC